TATCATGAAAAACTGATAGGTTTTACAGTCTTTCATTGGTTTTACAGTCTTTTCACACACAACTGACAATCACTTTGCAAACTTGATGAGATGTCCAGCAGCATCAAGGTACTGAAGAGGCGTTTTTCTGCCGCTCTGGAGGTGCTCCTTCAGTCTCAGAAGTCTCGCATCGAGCTCTCCGTAAACACGCTTGCGTGACTTGGGGAGGGCACCACAGTCGAGCTGAGCACGTTTAGCTTTGTCTACGGCTTCGATTTTCTTGATGTTGCAGATGAAGAGGTAGATGTTTGGGTGGGCTTTGGCAATAAGGTTTTTCAGCTTCAGGTGCCACCCCTCAAGGTGGTTGTTAGTCCACGGGCCAATATTTCCATACTGCGTCCAGATCCGTACCGGAAAACGTGCCTCATAGTCTACCCATGTACTCGTGACGTAGTCGTTGAAGTTCCTGACCTTCTCTGTCTCCGGGCCTTCGTCCATGGCAGCGATCCAAGTGTCCTGCACCATGTCCCGTGGAAGTAGTGGAAGGGCAGCTGCTCTCCTGACATGGGTCTGCACCTGTGGGATGTCCTTGTAGTCGTTTGTCAGTCCTTTCTCAGCCACATTTCGCCACACAGCCTGAGTGAAGTGGAAGAAGTATCCACGCACTTCACAATCCTCTTAGATTTCCTCCACTGCCCTGATGACTGACACCTCAAAGTCTATCTGGATTTCATTAGGCGCAAGTTCACCCCCTACTTTGTCCCTAACAGCATCATTCAACAACGTGAATAGTCTGACATAGGTAGCCCTCGTACGATTTGGCAACAGCGCATGCACACATGGATACATATCCCCATTCACCATACAGTGAATGCCATACAGCTGGTCCCATAGGGATGGTGCAACATAGAAAGTTCCATCCATATACCACTTGTCGGCACTGTGGAGCATGTTTAGCATGTCCTTTGAAGCAAAAGCCAGTATCTTGTCATCGTCACCATCATCAATGCACAAGAATTGCTGTCCATCTTTTGTCTGAGTCCATGGTCCTTCGAGTTGAACATCAGCTAGAGACTTGGGTAGGTTTGGTAGAACTTTGCTTCTGTGCCGGTAGAGGGAGGACTTTAAACTCGAGAACGATCGTACAGACGCTGAGTCAGCAACCTTGGACAACTCTTCATCGTACAGCTGCCGAATGGATGTGACGTCCTCCTGTACACGCTGATGCAATCTGCTAAGGAGTCGAATCTCATCTTCAGGTTCCACTGGGACATAGTTGTGCGGTGTTGTTGATTTCATGAAGTCTCCAGTTGTAGAACAGCGGCCTTTGCATCCAGAATGTACACACTTCCAATGTGTTGTGGTCTGTCGTCTGACGTTGAGGCGATATCGGTACCCAGCAAAGAATACTTGCTGTCCTCCTGCTTGAGAAGTGATGAATTGATCGCGTTGTACAGTTGCCATTGTGGGATGGATACAGTTGGTTCCCCTTCTAATTTATTAGGAGTTTAATTAACTGAGAAGATGATACCTTCTCAACAATTTAGTCCTTACCATGTTTTTCGACATAATCTGACAAGGACAGACAAAGCCTGTAACAACATAGTTAAAACAAGCCTACCCAACTTGATCAAATAGGATTAAGTTAATCCTGCTTTGGAGGTTACAATATAAGCATGCTAACTGCTTCCCAAAACAAAATAATACAATATCACTGTACTTGTCTTGTAGTCTTTATTGGATGAGAAGACTCAAAACATACTATACACAGAAGTAGATGCACAGATATATACTAATATAATCCCCCTAATTATCCCTTACTCCAAACGAAGCACCCCCTTCTTCATTGATACTCGGGCTGTTCAATTATTTTACAGGGCAAAAAATCTTTTCCCACGCTGCCTACAATGTTTTTGTTGGCAGCTTGGGATGTAGGCAGTTTGGAACTGTAGGCACTATGTAGGGCTTCCACGGGTACTCGAGTACTCGAGGACGAGTCGGGTTTAGCTGGACTCGAGGACTCGAAAAGGGGAGATAACTCGAATTATTGACGTTGACAGACTGTCTGCCATGTGCTAAGCATGAGCGGCCGTTAACGTCTAATATTAAGATAAGATGTAACTTGATTATCCCGGAGGAAATTCTTATACATCCAACTGTTTCAAAATGAATATATACACAGTTCACAAAAATATACACAATAATTACATGCAGAAAACGAATGCTATTTACAAATAAAACTGACATGATATAATTCAATTAACCACATAGGTAAAGAGGCTGAATAATTCTAGTTGTAATCACGTGATGGTGATTCAAAATATTGTTGCATTCACGAATACTTGATGGTATGAAAGACTGTCGAACTCTGTTTTGAGGGAAGGTAATTGACAGCAGCGTCCAGAAGGAAGTAGTTCAAAATGGTGAGATCAAATATGTCAACTATCAAATCTAATTTTAGTTGCCTTTGTGACAGTCTGGCGCTCATAGATAAAAGGAATATACTTAAAAGACACCCCAGAAGTTTTGCAAGCAGTATTAACAATTTTGAAAAGCTTGTTTTGTTGCAATGAGACAGACTCCCATACCAACATAGAAAATTGTAGGTCAACACACTTTGAATAGAGGTTTGATAAAAAACTGTCATTACGGTTTTGTCAATGCCTTGACAATAATAATCTTCAGAATCGGAAATTAGGCCAGTAACAGTGGCGTCATCTGCGAATTTCACAGTAAACACGTCATATATTGACAAGTAACAGTCATTGGTATACAAAACGAAGAGTACGGATGAAGGAACACAGCCATTTGGTTCTGCAGTAGAGGTTGAGAGAAAAGAAGATTGATAGCCATTTACACTGACATACTGAGTTCTATGTACCCATCTGATAATGTTTTTATTAAGACCTAAATTTATATTAAATAGTTTACTCCTCATAAGGTGTGGCTGTATGGTATTAGTTGTTACAATTCTCTGAAGATGAGAGTAAATATTATACATCGTTTGAAATTTCACTTCTTTAAAATGATAAGGTAACTATCTTGACAATTGATAGACATGGCGAAAGATAAAAATCAAATGTATGGGCGTATCTTGATCTGATAGAGAAAAGAGAAAATAACCAAATGCTGCCTGTGCGGTATATCACTGCGTTTTGCAGGCAGTACAAGAGTGAGTGAGTGAGTTTGGTTTTACGCCGCTTTTAGCAATATTCCAGCAATATCACGGCGGGGACACACCAGAAATGGGCTTCACACATTGCACCCATGTGGGGAATCGAACCCGGGTCTTCAGCGTGTCGAGCGGACGCTTTAACCATTAGGCTACCCCACTGCCCCTGGCAGTACAAGAAGTACGATGAAAAACAAGTGTCAAGTAAACATCCAAATACTGGATTCTGACCAATGGGAAATGTTAGTCACATAACGATATGAAGTCGGAATGAAGTAAGTAGTCACTTGTGTGATCGGAACACATGTCATGCAAGTTACGCTATTGTTTGCTTGAAAGGTATGAATTTCGAGTACTCGGGTCCGAGTCGAGTCTCACCCTCGAGTACTCGAGTCCAAGAAAATGGACTCGTTGAAGCCCTAGCAGTATGGGACCTAACCGATCAGACTGAAGATGGCAATTAGGTCGCTCAGCCAGGTATGACGACGGACCGTAGAGCGTTCAGCAAGTCCGACCGTTTGTATCCGTTAGCGTGATGGTGTGGGGTGGGATCTCATAACGAGCCTTGTTATTATTCATGGCAACCTGAATGCTCGAAGATACAGGGATGAAGTTTTGCGAACAGTTGTGTTTTCATTTTTATCCAGCAACAATGTGGTGTCCACCATAACGATAAAGCAAGGCCTCATACAGCAAGATTGACAAACGACTTTCTGCTTAACGCTAACATCATTTTTTTTCCCTTCACCAGCAAATTCTCCCTACATGAATCCGATAGAACACTAATGGGACTATGTGGATCGACAAATCAGAAGACTACCAGCGCCACCTGTCACCGCTCAACAACTGGAACAATGTCTCCTACAGGAATGATCACGCCTAACGTCATTCGTCGCCTCACGTCATTAATGCGTCGACATGTTTTGGCGTGTATTGAAGCCAATGGTGGTCACACTCACTATTGATTCAACATTTGATGACATTTTGCAGAATAAGCGCCTTATTGATTTGTGGAAAAGTTCAGACTTTGATACCACATGTCTTTCAGTGGCAGTCAAACGGTACTTTCGACTTTGTATGACATGAAATTGTTTACATTTGCTGTAGAATTAAATACTTTACTGAAATTAAACAGATGTTCATTTATGTATATGTATATGCTTTTGTTTTCTTTAACAATTTGGTCAAACACACTGTATGCTTTCTTTTCAGCAGTAGTTTATGTCATGAGACCTCGTAAAGACATGACATTTAATGTTAATATTTAACATAATAACTGAGTGAGTTTAGTTTTACGCCGCACTCAGCAATATTAAAGCTATATGGCGGCGGTCTGTAAATAATCGAGTCTGGACCAGACAATCCAGTGATCAACAGAATGAGCTTCGATGTACGCAACTGGGATACAATGACATGTGTCAACCAAGTCAGCAAGCCTGACCACCCGATCCCGTGAGTCGCCTCTTACGGCAAGCATGGGTTACTGAAAATCAATTCTAACCCGGGTCTTCAAGGGTATATTTAACATAAACGTACATAATTATATGAGATTCACTGTCGGAATAATATACACTCCTTTATTTCACCCTACCCTTTTGAATCCTAGAAATGTACTCCGACATATCCTGGTTTGGTATACCTCTAGATACAGCCTCATGTAAACCTTGAAATACTTCAGCACATTGATTGCATATAACCAACAGACACAGTAAAACAAAGGCTGCAAATGACATAAATATATGATAAACAAAGAGTGGGTATCAGTTATGCCAAACAATTCAAATAATCAATCTAACAAACCCACGTTTAAAGTTAGAAAGAGTTCACCAAAACATAACTCTGTTCTTACCTGTGTGACCAAACGTTGTATAAACTACTACCAGAAGAGATAACGCCACTTTCTCCATGGTTAGAGACTTGTCTTAGGAGAACCTTCCCTCTGTGAATGTTGCCACAAGGACAGCACCCGGCAGATGAGCAGGTATACTGTTTACAATGTCATACCAATCGATACTTCTTGGTTACTGTTAACGTATGCATGGTATGGTCGGTAGGGAGGTAGACTATATGTAAATCATTATATATTTTAGAGCCCGCCTTCAATATAAATAAGTACTTTCTTGTGTCGTACGAAGATCGCAGATTTAGTGTCAAATTCTGAATTTTAAAAAAACAAAAAAACAATTAACTCTACCATCATTTTTTGAAAACTTTGACCTTTCTTTAAAAAAATGGGAAAAACAAGTGTAGCTGTACTGGGATTGTTGTCTTGTAATTTCTACTGAAGTGATATTGCTAAAAGCGGCGTAAAACTAAACTCACCCACTCACTCTTCTGACGTGTTTAAACACATGCTGGTACCTATGAAGTCTTCTGTAATGCACGTGGGCGGTGGGGTAGCCTGATGGTTACAGCGTTCGCTCGTCACACCGAAGACCCGGGGTCGATTCCCCACATTGGTACAATGTGTGAACCCAATTTCTGGTGTCCCCCGGCGTGATATTGCTGGAATATTGTTAAAAGCGGCGTAAAACTAAACTCACTCACTCTCTAATGTACGACGTCACTATTTAAGCACCTGTGAAGTTTTTATACCAAAACGGCTATCTTTAGTCACTCTAGTTACACAAAGTAAGCGCTTATGAGATACTAGTATGTAAAAGTCATCAGGTAAATGTGAACAGTAACGAATAAATGACAAATTGTTTAGACTGAGAATGTGAAAACGTTTCATCAGCCCTACAACATTCACCTGTTTATAATAATAATAATAATAATAATAATAATAAGCATATTTGTGACGCGCATATATCCATGCTAAAGCATGCTCAAAGCCCACAAGATAAAGATGAGATTAATGGTAAAGAGCTACAGTTCAAAGGCTATCTTGAACATGTGTGTTTTTAGATTGGATCTAAAAGAATTAAAGTCACAACAGTCTCTGAGGCTCTGCGGGAGACTGTTCCAGGCTATAGATCCTGCATGGACAAAGGACCTCTTTCCATACATCACTGTCTTTACTTTGGGAACCACAAGCAAGTTCTTTTCATGTGAACGGAGAGATCGGGAAGGCGTGTACACGGTTAGAAGATTGGATAGATAAGAAGGTGCAGTTCCAGTGAGACCTTTGATTGTGTATTATGTACAGTTACCACCGACGACTTACGACAGTAGTTGTAGGTAATGGAAAACAACAATACTTTAAAACAACATTGATTATACAGGTAAAACAGAACGGTTAAAGTTTTCGATCAACCGATGAGATCATGTGTGAATATTTAATCACTTACATTGTTCTGTTATGATTGCTCCTATTGTCTTCTGTTCTTGAACTAAAAACTATACTTTCCAGAAACCAGACGAATTAAATCAACGTTATTCCTCTATATTGTGACCTGTTCTGTTAAAGACTATCGAATCACATCGAAATGTCAACACCACGCCTGTGCTAGCCGGTTTTAACAAAGTAATAAATGGCTACGAGCATATATTCACTAATGGCTTTCATCTCAAATCTGGCCTTTGTACCGTGATAAAACTGAAATAATATTCACTGCATATTCAAATGCATAAAAACATGAAGAGGAAGCTGGTATGATGAAGAGAAACACCGTTTATGGCTAGACAACTTCTTTATTACAGTGGACCGCCTCTGTGGTGTAGTGGTTAGAGCGTCTGCCCGGAGAGCGGAAGGTCGCGGGTTCGATCCCCGACCGCGTCATACCAAAAGACGTTAAAATATGGTACTTGTTGGTCCCTGCCTGGTGCTCGGCATTAATGGGTACAACAAGGACTGGTCGGCTCGGAGTCAGTATAATGTGTCTGAGTGGGGTATCCATCCTTCACTGCGGCATGGTATCTCAGTGGGCTAGCACTATAAAACCAGCTTAAGTCTAGGCTAGTACATGCAGCCGCACATACACACACACACGCATGCATGTCGTCATATGAGCGAAATATTCTCAAGCACGACGTTAAATCCAATTTCACCTCACCTCACCTTTATTGCAGTGGGTGCGACATTTCGGTGTAGATCCTAACATCGTTATCAAGCAATGCATGCACTGCAATAAAGAAGTTGTCTATCCATAAAACGCGTTTCTCTTCATCATACCAGCTTCTAAATGCCACTTAAAACATAAAACCTTGTCTCAGTATTGGTCTGGTGTAAACGTAAACTAGAACATAAAACCTTGTCTCAGTATTGGTCTGGTGTAAACGTAAACAAGAACATAAAACCTTGTCTCAGTATTGGTCTGGTGTAAACGTAAACAAGAATATAAAACCTTGTCTCCTAGAATATAAAACCTTGTCTCAGTATTGGTCTGGTGTAAACGGAAACTAGAATATAAAACCTTGTCTCAGTATTGGTCTGGTGTAAACGTAAACTAGAACATAAAACCTTGTCTCAGTATTGGTCTGGTGTAAACGTAAACTAGAACATAAAACCTTGTCTCAGTATTGGTCTGGTGTAAACGTAAACTAGAACATAAAACCTTGTCTCAGTATTGGTCTGGTGTAAACGTAAACTAGAATATAAAAGGATCAGGTCCTTTTAGGAAATAGGATAATTTCACGTCTACATGACAACACTTTGATCTTACATTGCCCTTTTACAAATACATATTATCCTATGTAGCTGTATGACACGTTTTCATGATACGTGTGTACCGTTGCACTATTGTTGGTTCTGGTCCAGCACACATACTACAAGACAAGAGGTAATTCCGTTCAACAAAACCCGCCTGACACAAATCCCACACGGGAATAGTGAATATTAACGTGGACCCGGCTCTACAAGCCAATCTTAACGCTATAACGATCCTTAGTCTCATACGTCAACAACCAGGGACGTACCCAGGAAAGAAATGAAGTGTAAGGACAACTGGACGTGCGAGACTTCTTGGGGGGTAGTGGTGGTGGTGGTGGGGGGAACATTTGTGAATACATATTGAATGCTAGAATGCTAGCTCCTGATTATTGTATACTCTCCCAAAAAAGAAACGCATATAGGAATTTCAACTGTATTTTTATGTTTAGTTTGAAACATCTTGTAGGCTTTTTGAGTCAATGAAATGTAGCGAAATTGCACACTGGGAATGCAGACTTATCCGTCTTTGGCACCAACTCGAGGAAAGTCAGTTTGAGTGTCACATGGAGACGTGTTGTGGCGCTGAAGTCAATACCTCGTGTGACCACCGTGGGCATCCAGAACTGCACGGCATCGCCTAGGCATCGAACGAATAAGTCTCAGAATCTCGTGTTGCCCAATCGCAGCCCACTCTGCCTGTAGTGCCTGTGCGAGTTGCTGAAGTGTCTGGGGCTGAGGGTTACGGCGTCGCACCCGTCTGTCCAGGGCATCCCACAGATGTTCGATCGGGTTTAAGTCCGGTGATCTTGAGGGCCAGGGGAGCACATTGATGTTGTGGTTCTGGAGGAAGTCTCTAGTGTGGCGTGCTGTGTGGGGCCTGGCATTGTCCTGTTGAAATAACTCCCTCTGGCGATCAATGATTGGAAGGAGGTGTGGGCGTAGGATTTCGTCACAGTACCGTTGAGCTGTCAGCTTGCCCTGGATCATCACCAAATCAATTCTCTTACGGCAGGTGATCGTTCCCCACATCATAACACTTCCCCGGCCAAATCTGTCCACCTGGGGAACGCAAGCGTCGGCGAAACGTTCACGTCGACGTCTGTACACCCGCATTCTTCCATCGCGTCGTTACAATAGAAATCGTAATTCATCACTGAGCCAGATTCTACGCCAATTCGGTAGGTTCCAGGCCTGAACGTTGGTGCACCATTGAACTCGATGTCGACGATGTTGTTGTCGAAGCACAGGGCCAAAATAATGTCTTCTGGCACGTAAACCAGCCTCTCTCAACCTGTTCCTGACGGTCTGTGCAGAAAGCCTCCTCAATCCGGGTATCTGTCGAGCGGTACTGGTCGCCGTAGCTGTTCGATGACGCAAGTGATGTACCCGGATGTAGCGATCCTGCGCCGCAGTGGTCGCTCGAGGTCGCCCATAAGGCTTGTTTATACGGCGAAAATATACACATGTGCAAATTTGCATACATGAGTAAATCTACATAGGGTGTGCAATTTGCTAGAGTGTGCAATTTGCTGTGCGTTTATACGGACTTTAAGTTCTGTAAGCAAAGTGGTAGTAAATCTTGATGATAGATCATTTCTGCCCTAGAATTGGATCGAGTAAGATGTGAGATATCAAGATGGGATTGGCATTTCCCGGTGATACCTCAATAGTCAGACACCCCACAAGTTAGACAGTAGAGTTCGGGTGGACCAAGTGCTCACCTACATTGATAATGGAATAGGCCTAAATGGCTTATCTCAAGCACAATAAGATCAAACTCCCATAGGTCAGCATTGACTTTAAAGTTTAATCCCTTTTAATTGATCTACTCACAGAATATTAAGAGTCTTCTTGTGCATAATTGATAGTGTGGCTTAGTCATTATTGTGAGTAAATCAATAAAAAATAAGAAAAAAAATTTGAGACTCAACTCAGTTTTCCCAAAATGTCTGTACTGCACAATAACGGCGGGTTTGCAGAAAGCAGAGTTCATCACATCGCAGAGAGGCACAATTCAGGTGCTCTTTGATCGCCATGTATACAACAACAAGGGGACGACTTGTGTGCACTGGAGATGCACTGTCAAGACATGCACAGTGTGTCGGCAGAATGGCGCAAGGTGCAAGCCCTCGGACTCGTTCAAAGCCACCGTGACGACCCCGAAGTTGAGAAGCGGATTCGTAGTGCACCTGCCTCGCCTCTGCTTCCTCTTGCAATCGTCCAGGGTGACTTGGATTGATGTATGAACACTTGCCCTGATGTCCCAGGGCCTATGCCTTCAACGACTACATGGTCACTTCGGGGATGATGACTCTCTGTTTAGGCTGTCTTTGTAGGACCATCCTGAGACCTTCGGCCCGAGGACCAGC